ATATTTATAGTTCAAACTTTCTTTAAAAATACAATTCGCCTCTGAGACAAGCGTCTTACGTGTTTATTCAAGAACCAACTACATTCTTCGGAACACAATGGTCTAGAGAACACTCCCCTCAAATTAGGTTCGTTCAAGCGCTGCTAGAACCTCTATGTTGTGTAGTACACAGACGTTTTCCACGTGTCGTGTTGCGACATGACATTGTGCGCACATGTAACAGGACATTTCCCTTTCGTGAACTCTTCATGTCCACCGACTTTCATACCACACCCATGTGACATCTGCTCTTCACTTCTGCCCGTCAGAAAAGTTGTAAACAACTTTCCTAAAGCCCGGGGTATTGTGATAATATCAGCAGAAGAGTGAAGACAAAGAAGAGCGCACGGAATCGGGAAGCGCGTGGCAGCGTTTGAAGCAGCGAAGCGGGCAGGGACAGACGAGTTTTGGCTGGACGACCAGTCCGGGAAACTAGGAGACGTCCTCTAGGCGCTGTACTATCCTGGACTCTGGCTGGGTGAGTGGCCCAGGGACCAGGCGAGGTTCCGCTGTTCCGGCTGCCGTCCTGATTTGTTCGAGTTCCGGTTTGCTGTGGGCCGCTGGTTCGTCCCGGTAGCACACGGTCCCGTTCGTCCCAGTAGCACACGACCCAGGTGTGCTACTGGGACGAACGCGGCGGCTGAGACCTGTTGCTCCAGAGCGGAGCTTCCGAGCGACCGCTACCCTCCTGCTGCTACTGCGGCAGAAGGCCGTGAGGTGGCGTGGGCCAACCCACGTTGAAGACGCCAACGGGACAGACGGCACGTCACCCCGAGTGATCGGCGTCCAAGTCCAAGCAAAAAACGGTGAGAGACATTGAATTCGAGAGAGATTTCCCGAAGAACTGCATTTGACAGGCTATGTTCGAGATGATCCATTAATAGTTGCTTTTTCCGTGTAAATATATTTGTGTGCGTGTGTGCGTGTGTGCGTGTGCGCGTGTGCGCGCGTGTGCGCGCGTGTGCGCGCGTGTGCGCGCGTGTGCGCGCGTGCGCGCGTGTGTGTGTGTGTGTGTGTGTGTGTGTGTGTGCACTCGTGGATCGATTAGTTCTTGGCTAGCGGTCCAGGGCCCAAAACCTGACACTACGTCACACACTAAATGTAAATATTTATCAGATTGCCATAACGAAGAGGCGTAATTCAAAACTTGAAATTTAAATTTGATGATATTTTACCCTTTTATGCGAAACAAATGCCCCTTCGACATTTAAATAGTCAGTTACATTATTACTTGACTCATCTGTCCATAAACAACATTATTGCAACGGATGCATTTGTAGTAAACGAAATGGCTGGAGTAGGTATCTTTTGTACTTCTCTTGAGTGACCTTTTTCAGTTAGATCACCAGATTAGACGCCTATATACATCGCTGAATTATTTGCTATAACTCTAGCACTTCGTAAACTTCCTGCAAGCAAGTCAGAAGCAGTCCTACTTACTGATTCTCTCTCAGTATGCACTGCACTATCTACAGCAAAAAATTTGACATTATTGAGTATGATTAGCAGTCTATTACTAGCAAACCTGAAAAAATTTCACTTGCTATGAATACCTGGTCACTGCGGGATTTTTCCAAATGCGATGGCAGACTCGTTAGCCAAAGCATCTTTAAGCGGACCACTCTTACCTATTTCACCTGATCTCTCCTATGTAACAGCACACGGATATATAAATGCTTGTTTGCACAACGAAATAGAAAAATTATTATTGGATAAAGTCAGAGACTTCGAACATCTAAGATTTTGCTGGAACAAACAGTGGTGTGTATCTCGGCAGTTAGAAATTACAATCACCGGATTGCGATGCCGAATTCGACACCTAAAATATTACCTACATAAAGCTGGACTCACAGCATCTTCGTTATGTCTCTTTTGCAAAGAATCAGAATCACTAGATCATTTTTTTATCAAAAGAAAAGATACCTGGTCGAACCAATTGAGAAGCTAGGTTTAAAAATAAACGTGGCAGTAATTTTATCTTTCGGAAGGATTACATTAGGTTATAGCCACAGGGAGGTTTACTCTGCCGTGTGTGCGAACATAATGGCAACAAAAATATTAACTTGTTAGTCTATTATTATTTCTGGCTACGTGACTACCTGAGCGCCTGACTTATAAATAACTCACTTGATGATCCTGTAGCCCGGTTTTTGGCTGATCCTCCTTTGTAGGCAAGTGCCAGCAAAGCTAAAGGCTCATCGCCATCATCACCATCATCATCATCAAACACAGCCGTGGTTTAGTGCTGAAGGACTACCCTGTTTGACTACCTACATGTCCCCGACTTCCAACTAGCCTGTCTCATTCATTCACCACTGCAACAAAATGCAACCTTCCCTGTTCAGTGCCGATACGTCGGCAAAAACTTCCGCAGCTCACTCAGCCTCCCTCACTAAGAAATATTTTGCGCTCATTCGGACTGAGGCTCCTCTAAATTTTACTGAGCAGGACTCATAAGGACTCAAGCCCACCCCAATATTGCTCACCCAAACTCACTCATACTCACGGCTTGATTTGAGGACGAGTGAGTACTGCTGAGCCCACTAGCTTAGAGTTAGCTTGTTCGACCACGCTGTCAATGAGCTAAAATTCCTCACGTAATTGGTAATCTTCCTGGCATCTTTTGATTGGGCATCTTCGAAGACGAGTTATGAGTGGTTGCAAACTAGTAAGGACATTTTCCTGCAATGAGATGATAACGAAATATAGTAAGAACTTCCTCGGAAAAGTTGCATATATATATTTTTCAGATGATGTGCAAGGATGTAAGCAATTCATTCCACATCTCGAGATATGTTCTAGGATTTGCTATAAGCGTTCAAATATATGTTTTTAAGCTTCAATACCATTTTCTTCGTATACAGTTATGTAGAAGAACAGGTCCTGTAGGAACCATATGCTAATACGTATGCAGTAGCAGTGAGGTGAAAATCTGGCATTCTTTCAAGGCTTGCAACAAGCCATTTACTGGTGGAAATGATTCCATTCCTAACTGGGAACATTTTCATTCTCAGCTGCATTACGAAGCCTGGAAATTTTTTTAGGCTGGAAAATTTTCCATTGCCAACTAGAATTTTCAGCCTGAAAACAATTGAGGTTCCATAATTCGGCTGAGAATGGGAATCATTTTCATCCAGAAGCGCTCGTTTTCCCCCTCATTCATCAGTCGTTTCATGCGCTGCTTTTCTGTCACAAACAACTGGCCTGATTAGTCAGTACCAATAGTATACGTGTGGATTCGTAGACAAAAACATGTGCGACCAACACATAATCATGCTCGTTCAGAAAGGCGAGTATATCTGCAATTAGTACTCAATTACATTGCCAACGTGATCGAAAATCGGGCAGATAACGGGATAGTCGCGTGTCTAAGCACTGTAGTCATTGTGTATTAGAAGCTTTGCTCAAAAGAGTGCACTGTTGTTGAGCATAAAAACTAACGTGAAAGTACGTGCAATATTTTTGCAGCAGTTCTGACAGCTGTACCAGCAGCACCTCGGTGGCGCTGAGTGCAAATTTGCAGTTAAGGAGGTGGTGGGTTTTTTAGGGGCGAAGCCCTCTGCCTCTAACCTTGTCACGTGTCACGAGTAACCAGCAGTATGTGAGATGTTGGTACTTGGAGTGTTCACTAGATTACGAACGAATGGATGGACAGATAGGCAGAGCGATGCTCGGATGGACCGGCAGACAGGCAGAGCGATGGACGCATGCACAGACAGACAGGCAGAGCGATGTACAGATGTACAGACAGACAGAGCAACGGACGGATGGACAGACAGAGGCAGAGGGAGGGACGGATGAACATACAGAGAGGCAGAGGGACGGACAGATAGACAGACAGGGAGAGGGACGGACGGATGGACAGACAGACAGGCAGAAGGACGGACGGATGTACGTACAGACAGGCAGAAGGACGGACGGATGGACAGGCAGACAGGAAGAGGGACGGACGGATGGGCAGACAGAGAAGCAGAGGAAGGGATGGATGGGCTGACAGAGAGGCAGAGGGATGAACCGATGGACATACAGGAAGGCAGAGGGATGCACGTATGGACAGACAGGCAGGCAGAGTGACGGACGGATGGCCAGACAGGCAGAGTGACGGACGGATGGACAGACAGGCAGAGTGACGGGCGGATGGACAGACAGGCAGATAGACGAACAGGCAGACACATGGACGGATGCATGGATGGAAGAACGAACGAACGCAGGGGCTAAAGAAGGACGCATGGACAGAAGCACGGACGGACTGAGGAACGCTTCGCTCCACTCATCACTAGCGCCGTAATTATGCTGCGATTTTTTGTGCATTGATTGAGCTTGTATATGGTTGTGCCTTTCTCGTCCATGTGTGGTAGTTCTGGATACCGTTTATTGCATGTAACTAAGTAGCATGACGAACCATGTTCCCAGAAGATGTCAATTCTGGGGATTCACGTTGTGAAACAAAGATGAGAGATCGCGTGGTGGAGGGCTCTGGAAATTTCGACCACCCGATGCTCCCAAACGTGGAACTAAGCAGAAGAGTGCAAAAAAGAACTGCCGAAGTGAAGCTGTAATAGAGCGCCATGTTTGCGTAACATCTGCATTTTTTTCGGCATATTTGCGATGCTTCTTCAGCCACCTGCCGTGATGATTGTCTGATACAAATTCTTGCGATATTTCAAAAAAATGTAATGCACTTAAATCACGCACACCTTCAGCTCTGCATACGCAATTGCTTAACTGTCGTTATTAAAACCGCTCGAAGCAACGAACTAAGCAGCCTCGAAAATAATGGAGATGTCACACTATGCCCCAAAATATACGGTATAAAATTTTCGAAATGTACAGAAATTCTGTGATGCCCGCTCGAAATTGCTGGAAATAACTTGCTACCGCGCAAAATAAAACTTCTGTTCTTTGTGGTTACATTGGTTTCCGAATAGATATTTTTGAAACGACTGGCGGCATTTTCTCACCAAGAATGGTGCGCAGGTGAAGGCAAAGATAACTGCGGCGCTGAGGTACGCCTGCACCTTCAAAGATTTCATCTCGTCGTCTCGGATGTCTTGCACGCGCTGCTGGAAGGACTTCTCCCAGGCGTACAGCTTGAGCACCTTGATCCCGCCAAGGATCTCGTTCATCAGTTTCAGGCGCCGGTCCTTGTGCTTCATCAGTTGAACCTGCACAGTGATGGTGCTTAGTACCGTGGCAAAAAATAACTTGGGTCAATCTGCAAACCCGATATATTTGAGTATCATGTGGTCGTCTTCTGACAGTGAAGAGCACACTCTGTGTTCATTCTCAAAGAGAGGGCGTCTCGAAACGAGCACAAGATAAGAAATCAGGACATCACAAATCGTGCATACGGCATTTCGATAATTGAACGCCTTCAATTTCACAATTGTTGCGAAATTTCGTTGGAGTGGTCCAAGTAATGCGACGCATGGAGTCAACAGGGCTGAGATAGTTGGTAGGTATTCATTCTAAAAGACAAGGGCGTGCAAATGTGGATGCACGATCTGTTCCAAGATGTGATAAAGTTGAGATACTCGCCACGATACAGTTTCAAACTATAAAAGCTGGAGGGGAATATGGCGCTAGTTTCCGTTCCGTGAGCGGCCCTGAAAGCACTACGCGGATGATGGGAAGTGTAGTCTTCGGATGAATTACGCTCAAGATTCGCGATGCTTGGCCACCGAGTTTTAAACAAACATAAATAAATTTATTTTCGATTAAAACTAACTTCCTTCTTCCGTAGATAACACGCATCGCAGAAAGTTCGCTCGACCATGCGATTCCAGTAAGCCCCAAACAAGTTATATCCCTACCAATGTGAACATTTTACAGAAGTCTGTCTAGTTGGCTATGAAAACTGGGAGATGATTTATACTCCAACCAAAAGTTTTTAAAGAAACCTGACGTGTTGGAACCGACTTGGTTTCTTCATCGGGGAGACTGCATGACTACAGAGCAGCGGCGTATGTATGCATTGATCAGCAATTGTGTCCTAGAGATGGCTTCACCAAAAAGTGGAATATCTTACAGCACTAGAAAACAAACGCTTTTTTGACTCAAAAGTACACATAGTCTATGTACAGAAATAAAGATACCATATTGAGTGAAAATAGGAGAGAGAGAGTCAGAATAAATTTAGGAAAAGACCAGGAGGTTAACCAGAAATTGGAGCATCCCGTTTGCTACCCTGCACTAAGAAAAAGGAAAGAAAGATGAGAAAAAAGCGAAGGATGAAATAGACGCGCAAAAAAAGTCAGCTGGGGTACCAAGGCTTATTCCATAGGCCACAACCATGCCATAATTTAATAAGGACTTCAGCGATTTTCTGCGCGAAGATAGATCATGTCGGCTTTTGAAGTACTGACTGTTTTGACAAGGGTCTGTCGTCAAGGCGAGCCAAGGCAGCAGCTAGCGGCCATCTTTGCACAATGTAGCGAGTGCAGGGACAGAGAACGTGATTTATTGTTTAATCACAGCCGCAATGATAGCAAGCAGCACTGTCTTCCACACCGATTTGGAAAGTGAAAACTTTGGTGGAAGTGACACCAAGCCACAGTCGGTAAAGCACCGTTTCTCAAATCGAGAGAGTCCGGACAGAGGCTGAAGTCGACGAGACGGGTCCAGCTTATTCAGTCGTGTATGCCGTAAGCACTCAGTATTCCACAGCCATTTTACTTCATCATAATCAATTTTTGTATTTTCATTGCAGCACCAATCCTTGAGAATGGAATAGATTATTCTTCGCCATTTTTGTGTGCTGATCAAGCAGCTGCATTGGCATGTTCTTTACCCAATATGCTGCAGTGACTTGGAAGCCCCCACGCATCTATACGGTTCCTTTGTAAGGCTGAGTCAGAGGAGCGTGACGGTGCATCTGCTTCGCTTTGCGGTCTTTTTGCACCCATGCAGTTTGATCTAGTTTTGAGGAACACGCTCCCGAATAAACCACGCACCTTCACGAAATGATTGGTGACGAATGGGCGAAGCTATATACGGCCTTAAATCCATGTTGTCTATGGTGAACTCGCTGACTAGTGTAAAGAACGCACAGATGGACGGGCGCCTGCACGCACGGATGGATGTATGGACAGATACACGGACGGAGAGATGGACAGCACAGGTGAACATGAACGGATGCATGAACGGACAGATGAGTGGGTGGGTGGCACGACTGCAGGGAGCAGGCACCTGCACCAGTGACTCCTGGCGACGTTGTGCTATAACGGAGTCACCCATACGATACCCAGAAGTTTTTGCGCTATGGCGCACTGATGGATTGAAGACGGAGAGATATCGTGAAATTTCGAAGGGCTGTGCCCCTATATATAATTAAATTTCTGGCTCTGGCATAGGATATGTGGGCCTCGGTTATTGCACGACGCTTAGCGGAAACTGATAAGCAACCTGTAGAGCCACAACACCGCAGCGAACCAAGAGACACCGCGATCTTCAGCTTCTCAACTGCAAAAGCAACGCTTGGGTGCTCTGCACCAAACCGCACCACCTGCACGTCCTATCAAAAACAAAACAAACTATTCAGAGAGTCCACTATTAAAGAGAACACCGGAGCGTGTGGCTTCTGCTCAGCGCCACCGCTGCATGGCTGGCTGCGGCAACTAGTTTTGCGCAGGAGCATTGAGTGCTGTGGGCCGCGCTCGTTTGTCACCTGCTGGAGTTGCGGCCACGCTCGCCACAAAGCCAGCCGTCCCCACGCTTTTAAATTTGTCCGCGGACTGCATGGCCACGCTCAGATGGAAAGCTGTGGCACATCTGAAAGGTAGTATCATGTAAAATACTACCTCATGCATATTTTTCAACGCTAAAGAGGCATGACTTCTTCAAGGATCTCTTTATAACATAGCAATATAAACCCATATTTTTCCTGCTGTGCGTAAAACTGAACAAAGAATTTACAAGTACCCCAACTGGCGTCACCAGAATGCTTTTCTTGAAGTGGCCAATTCTTCATCTAAGGACAAGGCGAACGAAAGACGGCAAGTAGGCTGATGTGTCAGGTAACATTTATCTGAAGAGGAAGGTATATAACAGCTCTATCTTGCCGGTACTTAGCTACGGAGCAGAAACCTGGAGACTTACAAAGAGGGTTCAGCTTAAATTGAAGACGACGCAGCGAGCAATGAAAAGAAGAATGGTAGGTGTAACCTTAAAAGACAACAAGAGAGCAGAATGGATTAGGGGACAAACGGGGGTTAAGGATATCATAGTTGAAGTAAAGAAGAAGAAATGGACATGGGCCGGGCATGTAGCGCGTAGACAGGATAACCGCTGGTCATTAAGGGTAACTAACTGGTTTCCCAGAGAAGGGAAGTGGGTTAGGGGGAAACAGAAGGTTAGGTGGGCAGATGAGATTAAGAAGTTTGCGGGTATAAATTGGCAGCAGCAAGCACAGGACCGGGTTAACTGGCGGAACATGGGAGAGGCCTTTGTCCTGCAGTGGACGTAGTCAGGCTGATGATGATGATAATGATGATGATGTTGATTATGATAATGATGATGATGATTATGATTATGATTACGAATCATCCCCGTCATATTCATTTTAGCTCGAAGGAAAGTGACTTCTTTCAGAATTTGCGACTTTCGCGGAGCTTTGCGATGAGTTGAAGCACGGCCGCGAATGTAACAGACGAAAAAGGGGCACTGGCCACAGCACTCACTGCTCCTGCTCAAATCTTGTTGCCGCAGAGGGCTGGCGGTGGTGCTGAGCAGACGACAAGAGCTCCTAAGTACCCTTTACAGAGGACCCTTCGGTACCAAAAACACACTTAGACAGCTCGCTACCAACGATATACAATCAAAAGCCTGCCCTTCCGTTCATTTCATACGTGGCTGGACGATCACAATGCCAGTTACAGCTCTAGGCTATTCGCAACTCCAAAAAAAAAAACGCTCCCTGTGCTGGCAACTACTGGTCGAAAAATAAAAATGGCTCTTCCGCTAGGCAGCCCTTTCGCTTGGAACTGTGCAGAAGTTTCTTGATTGCGGTGATGGATCACGCAGCTTCGTCGGAGGGGAAGGTTTGCAGGCCGCCAAATTATGATCGGCATAAAACATTTCACTGGCAAAACAGCAGAAATTGTCAGCAATTGTCAGAAACAGCAAAGATTGATACTGTTCGGCGAACTGAGTCCGATTTATTTCAAGTTCAAGAACCTGTCGAACGAGCCCGGGGTTAAAAAAGGCAACTGATCCTATGTAGCGGGCCTATGCGAAAAGTGCTTGCACTTTTAGCGTTGCGCTGCTACGCTGCTACAAGCAAGGCCTTAACAGTTCTCGAGGTAACGGCTACTCGTGTCGCCGATTGCAAGTTTTGATTGAGTTTCCTGGTATTGTAAAAAGCTGAATACGCATGCCATTCTCTTGACTACAAAACAGACTGGGTCAGTGTATCTTATGATAAGGCAAATGTTAGTTTCAATTGTAATAGAAGCGGTACTTTCTTTTCGTTCGCCGATCCATGTCAAGTTTCAAATAAATAAGGCCGTGTGCTTTCAAACCTTCGCTTTCTCGTGTTGCCAGTAGTAGATATCTATAGCAAACATATTCACTCTCACTACGCACACTACGAATGCACGGACGTAGTAAATATACGCACGAACATATATGCAAGCGCGCTACCTACGCACGACCGCGTGCACTTGTGTGCGTGTATACACACACTTGCGAAATCAAAGAAGTTCGGGAGGAAGGAACATCTTAATTTGAGAATAGGTAGCACTACGACCTGCGCAGGAAACAAGCATAAGGGAAAGACAGTCATGTACACACGAAACGCATCAAATTTCCTAAAACCATGTTACTCTGCTCTTGGAGATGCGCCTGAATATAAATAACAATGCACACACGAAACAAGTGGCATACTCATCTAGAAGACTCAGGTCGCTGCAAACGAATTGATTGGAACGAACTACCGCATTGTCCATATCACCTTCTTTCCAATGCGCAAGTTTCTGATTTCTGCCGTTCTCCATCGCGCGTCGTCTGCGTCCTTCGGGAAGTGATAGAACGATACCTTAACTTTCATCTTTTCAGTGAGATGCCCCGCATACTGCAATGGCTTTTGGACATCGCTTTTTTTTTTCTTTTTCGAGCTCACACTTGTGGCATGTTGAAAATAAAAAAAACTGTGCGGCTCCTTCTCAACGCGAGCAACGTGGTAACATCTCATTTCAAGATTGACCCTGTTAGCGCCGTTTCTAGGCGCGGCCGCTAGGTGCGAGCGCACATTTAGAGTCATGTAGAGTATGAAGCTATGAATTGGCCCTAGAGTTTATTACGACAATATCGAATCTACTGCACATCGGCAATCTCAGTGGATGTTTTTGCAGCAAGGGAAAAAAATGTGCAATGCAACTTATAGGAGGGTAACTGTCAGTATAGAGTGTTACAGACCTTACACACTAACACTTCCAATAAACTGAGATAGAAAAAGACCTGGCACGGCCGTACAAACATATACTCCTCCGCCCACGCACACATACAAAAAGTTTTTATCTACAGGTGGCACTTGAGGGTTGGAATCTCATTAGAAATTTTTTATAATTTACCTAATTTCGTAAATGCCAGATATGTGAAGATTTGTGACAGTGCTGCAGGGGTGTTCTTGTAAAGTTATGAGTGCCCGTTGCATGGCTGCCTAGTTTCAGGCTTTCAAATGATAATCTTAGATTGGCCAAGGAAAATTTGTACAGTTATGCGCACGATTGTAAGATAAGTTCAGCTCGTCAATGAACTTTCATGTTTTATCAAATAAGTCATATTCATCGCACATAAACATTAAGGCTCTTTTGCCCACCTCCAAGGTTTTCAACACAATTAGTTGCTATTGGTCAATCGTATCTCTGACCATCTGATAACAGTGTAACTAAGAACGCCTGAAGATAGAACATAAGGACGATTGCGTTACTAACATTTACATTTGCGTCCCTTCTGAGTTCGCTCGAACACTTCGGTTATAGTTATAACAAAAGTATTCAACACATGGCTGTCTTCATCGCATTATTGAGTAAGTTATTATAATAGTACGTTCATAATCTGCAGAGACGTGTCCACTCTCAACCATTTGTGAGGCGACCCATGTGGTCTCTAGTTGTCAACACGTACCTGCGTGACAGACTAAAATTGGTATCAAGATTTCGGTCATTCAGCAAATACGTCCAGACATGTTTATCAAAACCTGGCACCATATCACCTTCATAAATGACTCATAACCTGTATAGCTGAGGTTTGTAAATTGACAAGGTTATCGACATTTTGTTCAGTATTGCGGGGGTCGGGAATAGAGCTTTCGTCCAAGTGACGAATTAGTTTGAAATGTTAGCCTGGTATTTTCAGTAAGGCTGGCATCTGCGCTTTTAAGGTACTGTACCATGCTGCACACCATTACGACTGCCAAGGGCAGTTTCTAGATGTATCATCTGCAATTTATATATTGCTTTTTTTATGTAGACCTAAGTCGTGCACCTTACAGGAGACGAGGTGGAATCCAATTTCTGTCGCGGCTGATGAATTTTTCTACACCACAGAAATGAGATGCCCTTCAATGGTCGTAGATATTTTACAAGCTACTGTGCAAAGAGAAATCCTGGTTGTGGGCCTCACGGTAAACGATAAAGACACTTTGGGAAGATAAATCACGCATAGCGCCTACTAATGATATTGAGTGATGGTGATCCTGAATCTTGGGTGGAGACACCCCTTGATCGTCCAAGCGGCAAGAAGGCAGAAGTAAATAAGCTCTCAAAGTCCACCTACCTGATACTTTCTGATGTAAGCAGTCACTACGCCGTTTATGGGTAGCAGAATGATCATGACGCCAAGACCACCCAGGGTGGCAATGCCAAGTTGCCCCCATAGGAGCCAGATGGCGAGGCCGATCTGCAGGGGTGTTATCCAGATGAGGTTGTACACCTGGATGTAGTCCATTACGCGCTGAGTGTCCACAGACATGAGGTTCACAATCTCTCCCGTAGTGTACTGCCCTCTGGCGACGCTCGAGAGGGCCAAAGCCTGCGAGCGAGGAGGAAAGAAGGCAAGTCGATCATCCTGCCTATTTACACATGAAGGCAACAGATAAAAAGAGCGGCGCTATGCAACAGGTTTGCTGTCACAAAGGAAAACTTAGGAACAGTGAACGCAATGCGCTCTGGAAGAAGAAAAAAGCGAAGGATGGGCCATGGCACAAGTATCATTGGATGTTTTTTTTTGTTAACACGAAAGTGTTTCAAGACAGAGTCCACCAGCTCTTTGACGTATTTCCGTTACACATGTAACGTAAAATATTTACTTGGACTGAAAAAAAAAACAACTAAGCGAAGGAGAAGTTTCGCAGTGGGGCGCCCAACCAGTGACAGAGCGCGACGCTAACAACTAAGCCACAGAGCGGCCTTTCTCCATATACTAACGGCTATCCATTTATATACACCATGTATTGCTAACGGTCCTCAGACTTCGGCAACTTCAGCACGTTTTTGTCATCAGCGAAGAGATGGTGCGCGCGCTCTAAGGATCATCTTGCCACCCTCCCCCCCTCTCAACTCCACGCTTCGCCGTGCGTGCGCGCCTCGGCATCATAACGTGGTCAAAATGGGTACAGATGTTCTATGTCGTGCCGGCTCACTGTCACACCGGTCCCGTTAATTCGGGAGGCAATCGCCGGGCTAATTCCAAGGGCCGAAGTATTGGCCCTCCGAACCGCACCACGAAAGCGTGGACAATTTAGAAGTGGTCCTATTTGGCGCGCCAGCGGACGCCGGCGGTGGCCCAAAGAACAAGTCAGAGCCGAGAGTTGATAAACAAAACAGAATATATATTCTCAATAATGGCAGATCGAAAACATGATACACAAATATGCACACTCCGACAATAGTTACATACAATACTGTCACCAATCAAACAACTGTACTACACAGTACAATCAGCCACACTCGAAACAACGGACACAGACAACGATACGCACTACAATGCAGTCGCATGCATTGAACAACCAAGACACTTAAAGACTAAAGAGATATCAAAACTATTAGAGTCCAAAGTCCTTAGAACAAAAGTACTGAATGATACTCTTCCGGGAATCACTCACTCAAAGTCAAGCGTTGTTGTCGTTCCGCTGCCCCCGAAGTTTCTCTTCCAGGAAACCTCGCGCCTTCAATTGGCCACTCTCCAAGCTTCAAACTTCTTCGCCCGAACACGTCGGCTTCACACACGCAGCTGTCGCCACGCGTCTTCGCTCGATAGCGGTAAACACACTCTCTTGCCTGTAGCTCGGGCCTTCACCCCTCAGGTGGAAATCCTCTTCATCTCCTGCTTCGTCCCTACGGACAAACCTTCGCCGACTACACGGCGGGATCCCTTCGCACTCTGGCGCAACTTCCGTCTTCTCCTGATCTCTCATCTCGGCTGCTCGGTTAAATACCTTGCGCGCGACATTCCAGACTGTTCTCGTCATTTCGTCGGCGCGATACGCAGCGAAGGCTGGGAAGAGGGCGAGACGGTTGGAACGCCCTCCGCGGCAGATGACTCAGCTCGGTATGACCACGCCTATTTCCTTCTGGAACTTTCCAGCGCTTGCTAGGCCGCCGTTGTGGGGTGAGGAGGTTCGTCGGCGAAGCCACGCTTCTGCGGAGAGAGCGCGCGCCCGGGGAGCCTTGGATGTTTGTTTTCTTTTTTTTTCTTTTGACCTCGCGGCGCCACTCCGGCGTTTCGTCGCGACAATTTGGCGGCGCGCCCGTTTTTAGCGCTCGTTCTGTGACACTCACTCACAGCGCACTTATCTCAGAATTCAGGTGTTTTGTGCCTCTTGTGCTTCCACGGCAAGTTCGCTTTGAAGTTACAGTACTTAAAGAGAACACGAACGTGACTTCGCTCGCAGTCGCGGTGACATTTACGAAAGGAGCACGCTGATCAAGCACCAAAAAGTAAGAATCGTCACCATTGCTTGCGCTTCTCCTGTATTCGCACTCAGCCTTTGCCTTCATTTCTTGCGCTTGCCTTTCTGTTTGAGAAGCGTGGTTTAAGTGTAGAGCTGTGGCAGTTGCTTACCGCGCATGTCCTGTGTAGATGCTCATTTCGTGCGTGCTTTTTGCTTCAGGTGTGCGCTGCAAGTTTCGAGCTGCTTTCCGTGCTTCACCTGAGATTGCGATTTGTTCTGCAGTACTCATTCCTTCGTCGTTGCGGCAATTGAATGCAAAATGCATCTAACTCTGCAAGGAGACATTTCACTTTCGTATTATACTGATTTGTAAAAAGAGGTGTCAACCACGTTTATTTTTGTTTGTTTTTTCTTCGCTGAAATAAAGAGAAGCGTTGAAATGCGCTGCCCTATAGTTCCAGGCATACCGTTTCTGAAGCACTTCTTGAGCATGGTCAGAACATGCTGCCGATCGGTAGTAGAGGCTCCCGAGAACACACAAGCCAAATGTTATAGCGCAACACGTGGTCTGGAATTTACTACAAACTTATCAGAGTCAGCTAAAAATTCCTTTCTCTCTCGATATTTGATGGAAGACGCTAAAAAATCACCCGTACAAGGCCACCTCTCAGCCATTGGCTGAGTCGTGCGCTTGGTCGTTAAAGAGATTGGTGCGGGATTGTCCACGCGTACGCGCGCGATCACACTGAAAAAGCCGCGCATTCTATCAAAAAAAGAAGAAAAAAGTGCTCAAGATCACGAGGCGCGCATGACGTGTTTTCTTTGCCCCTGCCATTCCTTCGTGCTTAGCTTCCAGCGCTTCTGTCGGGGCGAGAGAAGAGAGAATTCAATTGCAGCATGCGACAAATTTTTGTAACTCTACTCCCACTTGACGGATTCTTGGAATTTTTGCGACGTTGAGTTTGTGAGGCATTAGGCTCTTCGAGTGAACCAATTCTTTGGTTATTTTAAATGTGTTTCAGCGCCGCTTTAAAACCTGTTTCATTTTAGAATTCAGGCTTCCGTTTATACAAACTGCCTGAGTTGGAATATCTTCACCCCCCCCCCCCCTCTATTTATATAAGGACGCGCGGAAGTGCTCAGAAATGCGGTGCGAAAGAGGTCCTAGCCTTCTAGTCTTAGTGTATTAGGTCCTAGTGTATTACGTTTCAGTGTATTGTAGGTTTGCGAAGTTGGACCTGCCACCATCTTCACAAGAGAAGCACATATTGTGGACTCAGAATAGCCTAGAATAGCATTTTCAGTATGGTTTGCAGCTGTTCAGAGGCTTTCGAAAGATTTTACTAGTTGTGGGTAAGCAGCTTTTTTGGGTGTCCTTAGCACACTGCCCAATGAGCTGCGGTCTTTTCGAAGCACTACCGCCAGAAGCTTTAGAAGTCAGTCAATGCAGGCTTCACTTGAAAAACAAGAAAAATGCATATTACAAGGCGAGGTGTAGAAGAATTATGTCGTTAGTTTTAGGTGCTTTTGGTGTTCTTTGAAAGCACTTTTTCAGGAAGGGTTCTCTCAAAGCAGCATGGTCTTGCAAAAGCGACAGACGCACACCTCATTTCGTCCCGTTCAGTGCATTCCAGAAATATTGTATTGTCGATTCGAAACGTCCGTCTCGTCTAATCCCGCAACAGTTTGCCATCGCATTCTCGCTACAGTCTCAAAACGGTGCACGAAACACAAAGGACAGTGATGTGCGGCGACAGGCGTGCACGTACCTTCTTGTAGATGGCATTGATCATGGCTGAGCGCATGCGCATAGAGATGACGTAGATGCGGTAGTCGTACTGGCCATTCAGAATAGACTCCAACATGGCCGAGAAGAACATGGTGAAGGCGAACAGCAGGCCGCGCCAGAGGGGGTCATCGGAACTGACGAACGCTATAAGCATGCTGCGGTTTCGCAAAAAGCAACAATTAGTGACACTGCGCACCTACAAAACTGTACAGAATTCTGAGCAGTCCATGTCACTGTAAAGGGCACAGCGCGAAAAGTCAGCCCGCAAAGGAAGTTACGAAGGACTGCCCATAAAACCCGAACAGCTTTCGCAGAGAAATCCCTCACCAACAAACAGAAAGACCTTCACTTAAATGCCAGTAAATAAATTAAGGCACGGCGTGTTACCCACGCGAATCACATGAACGCAAAAGTGGTTGTCTTGTAGCATTATTCTGTCGTATATTCAACGCCACAGCATGTCTATAGAGTGTATTTATCTAAACGCAATGGCTAGCAATGCTGTTGTGAAACTCATTGGGCAATGTGCGAATGCTCGAAAACAACGAATCGAATAGCCTTCTATTGCCTATTGGCATTCGTGTCGAAGAGCGCATACTCAAAACACCGAATGTACCTCTATTCAATTTAAGATCAGCATGATGCGAAAACCCCAAAGATACTATAACGTAGAACAGCGAATGGTAGTTCTTGGCTTTATTATTTGAATTGAGCCAATGGATAGAGCCAGCAACTTTCGTTGGGCTATCGACGCTATATTGATCGCCAGAGCACTTGCATTAACCTCAACTGTCTCCGAAACAAAAATCGACCACATTCTTCACGTTGTTTGTCATCAAGAGACACTTTCTGTGATGTCAGCTATTGTGGAACGCGACTTCCACAAACACGCTTAGATTTGAATGCACGTATACACCCTATAAAGTGGACTGGGGTGATGACTGCTGCTGTAGCTGAATGGATAGAGCATCAGACGAGTTATTTGAAGGTCATAGGTTCAGTCCGTGCCAGAGGAAAGTTCTGGTTTCGGCCACACTGCATATCTGCACCATAATTACAACAAATAATATATCTTCCTCAGCTTTCGGTTCCAATTATTGTTGTGTCTAGCGAATAAACAAAACGAGTCCTTCAAATCTACCTTTATTCCCTCACTCCTGAGGTCATGGCTGTTGAAATTTTCCGCGGTTGAAAAATTATGTCGAAGGCACTCGTCGCTGCTCTGTACAAGCTGAACACATTTTAAACCACATTGATTTATTCCGCTTGAAAATCAATCGCACCAGCAAATAGTTGGTAGGAATAAAACATTGCGGGTTGTTGTGACATTTTTTTAAGTATTGCATAATTATCCAAAAAAGAGTCAGTTTCTCCGAAAGAGCAAAGCAATCAATGCCATAGCAACATATTCGAATGTTTTACGAAGCAAGGCTAGCACTTCGGGAGCAATAATTATTGTACTAAACATGCGATAGCTGAGTAATCTTGCGGTGCGGCTACACTAGATGACCACAACAAGGCTCGTGGGTAATGAAGGCGTCACCGTCATTACCCACAAAGTTAGGCCGGCAGTACTTTAATTTATACCCGATCTCACGTAACTCTATAAAACGCTGGTGTAACAGAACACGCCCACTCCAGGTGCACTCTTGGTACTGATTTTTTTTTTCTTGTGTGTGTTGAGGGTGCAGCCCGCAAAAGCTCCTGCCTGCTCTGGTGGCACAAGGCGCACGCTAATTGCAACCATATGCACCCCCCCCCCCTCCTATGGTCGCTCACGAGATAAAGCGATGTTCGCACCGCAAAAACAGGAAGCTAGCGCATCCTTCTCCGTATGTTTAATTATATATATATGCAAGAAAGAGACGACGAAACTTTCACGGAAGCGTCTTTAGTTAACGTTTTCAGCTGGTGGACCAACCTTCGTCAGAGTAATGACATTACTCTGTCGAAACAACATATCAAAGTCAAGACGAAGGGCACTCGATGAACTACGAAAAAACACTGAAATTACCATCAAACCGGCTGATAAACGGGGCTGCATAGTAATTCTAAACACGTCGGACTACTTAAAGGAAGGGGAACGACAACTATCAGACACAACATTCTACAAAGAACTTCCAACGGACCCGACTCCCGAATTTGAAAGGGAGATAAAAGTAACCCTAAATAATCTCCGCCGGGACGAGAAAATTACCGGCAAAATGTTAAAAGCAATGTTACCGGCCCATTCTGTTCCCGGTCGATTCTATTTGCTCCCCAAAATACACAAGGCAGGCAATCCGGGACGTCCGATAGTATCCAGTAACAGCATATCAACAGAAAATATATCAGAATTCATCAATTCCTTAATAAAAAAACGTCCCCCAAAATTTTCCCTATTACCTAAAGGACACAAATCACTTCATCTACGAAACTTCAAGTCTCGACATCCCAAGCGGTAGTTTTCTGGTGACCATGGACGTCTGCTCACTGTACACCAACTTACCACACCATGACGGAAAAGCGCCTATGGTTTCTGAATATGTAAAATCTGACTCATCAACGAGTGTAAGTGGCGAGGTACTGTTTACACTTCTTGAACTTGTACTAAATTATAACCATTTTGAGTTCAATGGCAAGCATTTCCTTCAGGTCAGTGGCACTGCAATGGGCACGAAAATGGCCCCAACTTCGCGAGCACCTCTATGGCTTCACTTGAAATCCCATTCATTGAGCGACGCACCTTGAACCTTACTACTACAAAAGATACTTAGACGATATTTTTATGATATGGAACCACGATGAGGGAAGGTTTTTCCGCTTCATAGAGGATTTTAACAAGTGCCACCCGTCAATTAAATTCACGCACAAAATTTCCAAAACTAGCATTAACTTCTTGGACGTCACTGTCACGGTCAAAAATGACCGCTTGTCAACAAACCTTTACAAAAAGCCTACAGACCGTCAAATGTACCTACATTTCAACAGCAGCCACCCAAAGCATTGCAAAACGGGTATTTCATATTCTCAGGCCTACCGGTACCGAAGAATATGCACCGATATGTGGGAATTTGACAGACACGCAGAACACCTAAAGCATTCCTTATTGAAACAAAATTATCCGGAAGACATCATTGACTATGCCATACTACGTGCTCGCAACGTGAACAGGAATGATATAATTAACGGACCAAACAAAGTATCTAAAACGACTTCCCAAACGAACCTTGTACTAACTTATTCCTCATCAGCGCCACCAATCAACAACATCCTTTCCCGCCAATTCATCATAATTAGGCAAAGCAAATGACTAACTTCTATTTTCGCGAAGCCACCTCACGTGATGTACCGCAGGGATAAAAATCTGAAAAATCTGAAGGACTTTCTTGTCAGAGCAAAAACAAACACCCCCAAAATTCAATCAGGGTGCCATTCCTGCGGAAAAGCTCGATGCACGGTATGCATACAGATGGTCACAACACGTGAATCCAGAGCGAACTTCTCGGATTTCAAATTCTGCATAACTGAAAGCCTTAATTGTGACTCCAGTAACGTAATATACATGCTACATTGCAACATCTGCGAACAAGAATATATCGGCCTAACAGACACGCCATTTCGGCTGCGGTTAAATAATCACCGGTACCACGCCACTTCACTTCCGAAGCTTCCTTTATCTAGACATCTGTGCCTGCCAAACCACAGTTTTGAAAATATCAGCGGAACTCTTTTGTAGTCCAGTTTCTCAAACAGACGCGAGGGCGAACAGCGTGAGGCGTATTTTATTTTCAAATTTCAAACATTAGTAGCCGGCATCAACGAGGACCGCGGAAGACTCTCCTGCCTCCGAGAAGTAAGCCAGGAGGAAATTGGTGACAAAGATTGATAGCTGGAGACCATGCTTGTTTTTTCTGACTGACTCGTACGTGTACACTGTCCTTTCTTATTTTTTTTTATTTTTTTTTCCTTTTTTTCTTTTTTTACATGCACATACAAAGTGGTTCTGTTCGCCTAGCACTTGATGACCATTGAAGGGAAACGGACGAAGATGAAAGAGAGCCGACCGACCCATTAAGGGGAAACCCTTTCCTTACGCAGGCCGTCGCGGACCACTCCCGCCACCGCGGCGACAATCTTGGGTGGCCCGACACACGCCGAGAACTGACCAGCACGGGATAAGAACAGGATGTGGACGTACACGGACATTTGGTTTTGTTCTCAGTGTTGACAGTGGTTCTTCCTCTTTTTTACTTTCTTTTTTCTTTATTTCCCTTTTATTCTTTTCGTCTGTTTTCTTCTCTTTTTTTCTTTCGTTCTTTCTTTTTTTTAGTTCTCTCTCACTCTCGCAAACATCTTCCTAGGCGAGAGGGACGCGGCAGCAACGGAGTTTGGAAGTTCATGTTAGTATAATACCCCTGTCACACGGCCACCACTAAACTCCGTTGAACACCGTCAACGTAAATCTCTTCTAGGTGGTTCGACGGAGAAGGAGTTGTGGCAGTGCACACGGCAATAAAAAGGTTGTAACAGTTGGCGAGAGGGGCTCAGCTGGCGCTGTTTGATTTTCGGAAAATTATTCTAATTTCATCTTTATATTTTTTGTGAATCCTCGTTCTAGGGTTTTTACAAAAAACTACTATTAAGGAGGTAAGAGGCTAACAAACCATAAAAATATTTTCAAAGAAAAACGAATTCGCTAAATGTAGCGATGCTGCTAGTGACGCTGGCCACATTGTGCTTTTAGTTGTTTTGTTGCCTGTGTTCATGTCTGTGTACGAAATTTCTTGTGCTTCCTTGCCTCGTGAGCGCACATTTTGTGTTCTTCAGCCATGAGTGACACAGCGACGACCACAACCACACGCATGGACGAAATATTTTTCAATGGCACCGGCCGGCCCGGCTCGCGAGGCACCATGTGCGAGGCACGAAGTGTAGAGCATCGGTGTTGCGAGTAAGTGACCTCTGGCGGGCGTAAATATATGTAAACAAACGCGCGTTGTGAATGAGTACTGTATCGAAAGAACGTTTAAGATTGCCAAATTGAATTATTCTTCTACTGCGGCCACTTAGTGCTCGATATTTTTCTCTGACCTCTAGACTGCTGGGGATGAGAGTACCTCGTTTCGCTGCGAAGAGAGATCGTTGAACGTCCTTTGCGAAACGCTCCATTTTC